GCTGCTGCTTTTGAGTTGTCGACTTTTTGTTGGTGGGCAAGCAGCAGTTCAAGACGCAGATGGGTTCCGTTCCTAGCAGGGACGACATTTGCTGCAGCGTGTACGCAAGCCGCAGATAATGGCGACTACTTTTGATAATGTCGCTTACATGTCGCCGAAATGTTGTGAAAAATCTTTTTTTAGACAGAACAAGACTGATATTTGAGTGAGATGTAGTCCAGGATGTTACATACCCTGTAGGTGCCTATTCATTCTAGCTTTGAAAAAGCTTACATTATTCAACGGGAACAGCAGCAGGCAGCAAATTCCAGTACCTTGCTTTTTTTTAAAGGGGCAGGAGGCAAAAAGCGGTTCGATTCCTAGCAGAGACAACATTTTCTGCTCGAAATGCTGCTGCTTTTGAGTCGTCGACTTTTTGTTGGTGGGCAAATGCAGCACGTACGCAAGCCGCAAACATATCGACCACTTTTGACAAAGTCGCTTATATGTCGCCAAAATTTTGTCAAAAGACTGTTATGCAGAACAAAATAAGTGTTGACCGCAATAACACCTAATGTTAAGCGAGATGCAGTCCACGATGATACCGTAAAAAGGCACAAAAGTGCCCTGTAGGTGCGTTTTCACTCTCGCCTTTATAAGGCGAGGAATAATGTTCAGGAAAGACAGCAGCAGACAAAAGACACGTTTATAACACATTTTCACTCAAACCTTTCCTTTACGGTCTACAGGTGAAACAATCAGTCCTAGAGAAGTACGGAGGCGAGGAACACTTAAAGGCACCGCCTCGGGAGCTGCTCCTGGCTCAGAGCGAGGTGTTCACACGGTACAACAGAGACGGAACGCTGGTGCAGGGACCGGAGAAGCAGCTGGCTAAGTGAGTACTTGAGTTTTGTTACTGTCTTATATCGGAAGACAATCTCTTGCCAAAGGTAGTTAAGTAACCTGCCTGAACAAAACCAAACTTCTTTTTTTGCGCGTTATTGCAATCAGCCCCAAGGCTGTGTGATGATTGAGCAATTTAAATTTCAGTGGCACCACTATCTTAGGCAAAATTTAAAGCATAATGGTGCCCAAAAGGCTAGCATCTGTTTCTTAATATTTTCAACAACATTTCTGACACAGAAAAACTAGTTGCTAGTTTCAACTAGAAGTAACCATTATTTCTGTAGTCCTAGATATTTGATCCTTATAAAGCGACACTATTTCCCAGTACAATAATACAGGATGTGCTTAGAAAATAATTACAATAACAACTGTATAACATTTCAGGAGTAAATACGAAGAGGACGTGCTTATTAACAACCACACCAGTGTATGGGGCTCGTACTGGCGCGACGGGCAGTGGGGCTACAAATGCTGCCACTCCTTCATCAAGGTGAACCACCCACATACAATCTATACTATAGTCTTTTTCACCTAAGATGATCCGTATGACGTTTCGAGTTTGAAAGATTTAGAGATGTCACATAACTAAACCATAGCGATTTATCTATCGATTTTTTTCGAAGAGTTAGTAAAACCTACTTTCAGAGAAATATTTTTTATAGGTGTTATTTAACAAAAAACATGTTTTTTTTTAATTACAAATATTATTATAACAATTTTTATTGATAATATTCAAATTTCATGGTTCGTGTTGAAAAAAACGATTCCTAAAAAGTACTGGTTCTGTTTCTTTAAATTAAAAACTAATAATTTATTTTCAATGCGTTTATTAAAGTCAATAATCGAAAAATATAGTTGATTTTTGTGATGTTTTTAATAACTAAGTATTCACTGCAATCGATTAATGTACCGCGGAAATAATCGATTTTATCATACAAGAAATACCCCAGCACTAAATCTATTCCGTTTCACACATTGCGTACATTAAATAAAAAATATTTTTACATCGTATTTAATTAAAACTAGCTGACCCGGCGAACTTTGTTCCGCCTTAATGGCAATAAATAACGGGATAAAAAGTATCCTATGTCCTTCTCCTGGCTCTAAACTACCTCCCTGACAATTTTCAGCTAAGTCAGTTCAGCCGTTCTTGAGTTATAAGCGAAGTAACTAACACGACTTTCTTTTATATATATAGATATAATCAATAGACTCAGATTTTACTATATATTTCAAGACAAGTATAACTACTTGTATATATTTATTTTTATTATATTGCTAATAAAATACAAATATTTTTTCAAAAATATTCTGCATTGTAGTATGCGTAAAATGGATAACCTTGAAGTGTCATACGGATCATCTTACGTGAAAAAGACTATAATATTATAAATGCGAAAGTAACTCTGTCTGTCTGTCTCGCTTTCACGCCTAAACCACTGAACCTATTTTGATGAAATTTGGCATAGAGATTTTGAGTCCAGGAAAAGGACATAGGATAGTTTTTACCCCGTTTTTGAAACAGGGACGCGCGCGATAAAGTCTTTCTGTGACAGACAAAATTCCACGCGGGCGAAAAGTTTTATAGTGCATTCGTAGAGTCTAAAACTGTTCTGCAAGACTTTTTCTTACCATTTTTTTGGTTTACTTTTGGAAATAGATTTCGGCTAACCAACAACACATTTTTCAGATGTCATACTGCGTGGGTGAAGCCGGCAAGTCGGTGGTGTTAGAAGTACAAGATAAGGACAAAATTACCGCCAGCGCCAGCGCTGCCAAAGAATCGCCAGAGAAAAAGGAAAAAGGTATGTGATCCAGCATTATAAATAAGAAATAATATAATACAACATTTTTAATTTAAGGGAAGATGAGGAAACAGAATTAATAAAATACCCTCAATCTTAGAATAATTGTCAGAGCAGAAACGAAACGTAAGCGCAGCCGCCTTGACTAACCGAAACAAAACCAAACGCAACTGTCAATGAAACATCACGCAGTTGTCAAAATTAAGCCCCTCCCTCTCTTTAAAATTTATTTATAGATGACCCACGCTGAACTGTCCCGCCAAACTCAATGACAGGGGGGCGCTACTATCGTTCAACTTTATGGTTTCCAACATGGCAAAAATTGGAACCAGCGATTCGGTATTGACGGTGGCGCCCCGCTGTCAATGTCATCGATAGGACAGTTCAGTATTTTGGAACTATATTTTCGATTTTTCTAATCTTATGTTTCAGAAAAGTCAGACAAATCATCATCAGACTCGAGCTCGGAAAGCAGTTCGTCAGAATCCGAGGCAGATATCAGGTCGAAGACGGAGAAGACAAGTAAAAAGAAGAAAAATAAGAAGAAAGCCAAAAAGAAGAAGAGGAAGGACCTCAAAAAGGAGAAAAAGGAAGAGGATAAACTCAAAAAGGTAATTTATAAAACCGCAGCCGGGAAAATGTTATTATCTATGTCGAAGAAAGGGATTTATTTAAATCCTATTACAAAAGACAATGCCGGAAATTGGCGTCTTTTTTTTTTCGCGCGGCCATCGACTAAACTTTGTTTTTTGATTACAAAATAGTGTAATAAACCAAACTTACTACGGCATGTATACCTCTAAACTCAGTCTAAACTGAGTTACGAGCATTAGAAGTTTGATGATTTTCATACTAGATTTGCTTTTTGCGCGCAAAGTTTTACTACGGCATGTATACCTCTAAACTCAGTCTAAACTGAGTTACGAGCATTAGAAGTTTGATGATTTTCATACTAGATTTGCTTTTTGCGCGCAAAGTTTTGTAAGAAATTGCAACAAAATAGTGAGATTGTATGTGTAAACAAACAATACCATCCATTAAAGGCTCCAGACATCAGTATGGAGCAGAATCAGCGCAATAAAAAAATAGCGCAATATTTTGTTGCAATTTCTTACAAAACTTGAGCACAAAAAGCAAATCTTGTATGAAAATCATCAAACTTCTAATGCTCGTAACTCAGTTCAGACTGAGTTTAGAGGTATACATGTCATAGTAAGTTTGGTTTTTACACTATTTTGTAATCAAAAAACAAAGTTTGGTCGATGGCCGCGCGAAAAAAAAAAGACGCCACTTTCCATACAAAATCCGGCATTGCCATTTACGTTTGCGCTGCGCATACGGTGCACTTTTTTTTTTAGAGAAAAAAAATTTTTTCAAGACGTGATATTTTTACAATTTTATGTGTTCAATGCTTATTTACGTACTTCATGATACAATTATTACACTGTATTTTCAATCTACGAGTATTTAAACATTTTATAAACACTATACTCTTCTCCCTCAGGCTCTCGAGAAAGAAGAGAGACAGCAGAGGCACGCAGACTTCCTTCTGTCTGTCGACGAGCGCAAACGGCCGTACAACAGCATGGTGGAAGTCAAAGCGCCTACTGACCAGGAAATGGAGGCCTATATGATGAAGCGACGGCGCGAGGAAGACCCCATGAGCCAGTTCATGTGATTGTATAGACATCTAAGCATAAAAATAAATAAGAAATATCATGAGGATTTTTTTTCTGGACTTTAGCAACCCCATTTGGTATGATTGCTTGTTATTGGCAAATGCACAAGCAGTGCAAGGTGGATGTTACGGTTTGAGAAATCTCGGCAGTTTCTGCGACAGTCGACATACATACACGAGACAATTTAGGAAAAGTCCCAGGGTCTCCCACATGAAACGTCCCGGGACCTCCCATGTGGATAAAGAGAAATATGACAACATAATAACTCATTGTGGTACATAAGTAACTGTTTTCTTAGAAACAATAATTATCACCATTCATTACATATTTATTAGCAAAATCGTGAGATTTCTAGCAGCGATTGCCAATGAGCAAAAATACGAGTTCTTTTTGCGCATTAAAACATTTGAAATTCTACCATGATGCCTAATTATTATAAGTAAAAATTAATACGATATTTCGTATTTTGTAACATGTTACAAACCATTAAACAATCCATAAGAAAAAAAAGGTTTTTTTTTTCATCTTCTGTTTTTTTTGGGCGGAAAATAATTTTTTTGTCATTAGTAGTTTTATTTTCTGTATAATGGCAATAGTAGTTTTTTGACATTTAGCATGACACATCGCCATTTTTCCAAACGTCAAGAATGTTTCGTACATGTCATTTTTCATTTCCTTTTTGAATAGTGGGCCGTCCTATCCTTTTGTGATTGTTTAAATAAATAAAGCGTTATGATGGCTGAGGACACAACAGCCGACGCAACCAGAAGGTTAAATGTTAAAAAACAGACTTTAGACGACGCTTACGCGGCGCCGGCAAACTTCCTCGAGATCGATGTAGTGAACCCAGTGACAACTATGGGAGTAGGGAAAAAACGCTACACGGATTACGAAGTTCGCATGAGGGTAAGCCTTGATCGTGTATCATCAATTTGATATAATTAAATTAACAATTGACGCGGGATCTGTGTTTGTACGTCACGGATTTGGTGGGCGTATCGTCCGTCCGCTGCATGCGTCAGTGAGGGTAATGTTCTATTGTAGTTCTAATTCTAAGTGGTTCTTTTTTATTTCAGACCAATCTACCTGTGTTCAAAGTTAAAGAGTCAAGCGTAAGACGGCGGTACAGTGACTTTGAATGGCTGAGAAATGAATTGGAAAGAGATAGTAAGGTAAAAATGATATTAGTCACCACTGTGATAAATGTTTTTGTTTATCAGTGACACCAAACAAAAAGTGGCCAAATGTAGATTGTGTTTTAATTCGGGTTTTATGTGTCCTAAATAGTGTTTTATTTGTCCTAAATAGTGTTTAATGTGTCCTAAATAGTTTAAATTATGTATTACAGATTGTAGTTCCACCTTTGCCAGGCAAAGCACTAAAGAGACAGCTACCTTTCCGTGGAGATGATGGTATATTCGAAGAGGAATTCATTGAAGACCGCAGAAAAGGTATGACATTACTCCAAACTAAGTGCTACGATCTTCTTGAAAGAATCGGGAATCTACAATTAACTACACAATACATTCTTGTTGCAAAATAATATAAATGACAGCTGCATTAGATCTTGAATGATAATGTGCATTTGACTACTGTAGACGTCAGCTGTTATTCTGTGAGAGAAGTTGATAGGTACAGTATTTCCCAAACTCAAATTGTAGGAGAAAGGTTGCTCTGTTATGACAACAATTATAAACCTTAAACTAGCGAGACAAATTTTGTTTGCCAGTTCAGTTAATAAATAATCATTAATCTATGTTCAGAAAATACTTGGATAGTTGCCAGTTCATTATGAGTGTAAGATAATGGTATTTATTCAGTAAAAAATACTGTTCCCTATCTCATTTCGCATTGTCTAGCATTTTGATAAATAATGTCAATGTACTCAACAATAATAGTGTTTATTATCAAAAGACTGATTTTTCTTACAACAATAAGTACTTTATCAGCATAGATATATACAGTTTACATTAAATTATTCATAAGTTCATAACTGGTAAAGGCGAAAATCAAGGTTGAATAAAACAGTATGAATTTTTAGCTCAAGGTATTATTAGACTCAATCGAGTTTTTAAGGAAAGTATTAACAAAAAAACTGATTGAAGATTGTTGCTAGTTTAGTGAACATAATGGCTACGCATCTTAGTGTTAAATGACAAATAACATTATGAGTTATTAACTTGTATCCAGTTTTAAACAATACAATTTATATTGCATTGTGGCTGGTTTTTAATTCTGTGAACACAAGTGAACAATAGCATTCATTCATCACAAAGTATTTGAGTGTCATATCTTACTATCAATAACAACAAATTGCAATCAACATTTATCTTTATTCAATGCATGATTAACTGTTTAGTGATAATATGCTGTAGTCAGCATTCCTGTATCGTTATGAAGTGGAATGTAAAGATAATTTTTAGGATATATCGATTGCCAATTTGCCATACAACGAATATTGAAGATTCCTAATGGATTATTAATTTTCCTTTTACTAAAGTACGATAATGACTTACTATTATGAAACTCGAACTTGTATAATCAATTATGAATCTTATATTTCCAGGACTAGAAGTGTTTATCAACAAAATAGCCGGACACCCACTGGCGCAGAACGAACGGTGCCTTCATATGTTTCTCCAGGACCCCACCATTGACAAAAATTACGTACCAGGAAAAATACGCAACACATAATATCGATCCATCCAAGTAAGATAACTATATGATGTTTGAAACAATTCTCATTGTACGAGCATTTTAAACGGTCACAATTTTCGAAATTTTCATTTTTGCATTTACATTCACAGTTAAAATAAAGTTTTACTAACAGATCTATTTGCACTATATTAAAGAAACATTCGTTTGACGCCAAATAGCTATTATCAGTTTTAAAACAGTAACTTTAGATACGGTTTAACGTAATAATACGCTTGAGCAGTTGCAGAGTTCATAACTCTGTGAGAGAATTGTTCCAAACTTACGTAATAATGGAATATTGTTACCGTTTTGAAGCAGACATACGCAGCCAGAGTTTATATCTGTGTTGTCTCTTTAATTAGCACTGTGACAATATTCCCAACAAATCCCTTCAATGCAAAGTAATCGAGACATAAATGAAATATTTTACACACGGCACAGCATTCCACAGAATATATTTTTAAAAGTTTTCTAATGGAATCAAATAACCTCCTTCAAGTTATAAAATGGGAATGTATGCATATAGTCTGATGGATATATTACTGTTTGTTCCCCATTAATTAGAACAAAATTGATTGTAATTAGGATAATGTTATTGTTTATAACTAAGCAATATTATTGGAATTGTTAAAATTGTTTACATGTTTACATCATTATGTATATTTCAGTTCATGTATCTATGTGGTTTGCCAGTTTGAAATTTAAGTAAGGATTAAGTTAATATTTTGTCATTAAAGTAATATATTATGTATTACTGCATATTTTATATTTTAATCTCATAATTTTAATTTATGATTCATTCATAATTTCAGTAAGAAATTATATGTATTTATTGTGTATTATTAAATGGGCGTAGGTAAGAAGTTTCCGTCGGTCATACATCAGTGTCGTAAGGTTCTCAGTGGTCCACCCAATGGCAAGCTCATAAGATGTCTTACCATGAATCATCACTCATTATGAGTGACTCATGGTCGTTGCCTTCGTTAGTCAGTTATTCTGTTTAGCCCTTCGTCAAAAATCCACCCTGTGTTGACATATTCGATTAAATGTAAACGATGTTTGGAGTATAAAATTTGGGGACATTAACAGAATGACCTAGCTAGTCGTTGCATTGCAGTAAATTAGGTGGATACTGTCAGCGTTTGTCATAAGATGAGTCATGGGCTTCGTAACTATTTTCGAGACTTCCTGACAACGACGTTCGTGGCGGTCAATATCTCGCTTTAAACGAAAGATCATAATAACTGACATTTTCAGCCCCCCTAGACAAAAATTCAAATTCAATAATTTATTTGCTAGAATACATAATTACATGCCCGTTTTACAAAGCAGATCTTATAGCTAATATGATTCCCATGTATTCAGTCTTTGATCGAATCGAAAATCGAATTCGTCAAAACTCCATACAAAAAAGGGGCTTTTCGACCACTTTTCGACTGGTTTGCGATTATAATTTGCACTTTGTCTAGACCCACTGATCTATTCGAAAACTCGAAAACAGCGTTATAAAGTGTAAAGCCCCCCTAAAAATTTGGCAGTTGCGTCATAGATAACAATACGCCAAGAACATCAGCCCCCCTAGACAAAACGCACTTTTTGATCGAATCGAAAATCGAATACGTCAAAACTCCATACAAAAAAGGGGCTTTTCGCCCACTTTTCGACTGGTTTGCGATTATAATTTGCACTTTGTCTAGACAAAACGCACTTTTTGATCGAATCGAAAATCGAATCCGTCAAAACTCCATACAAAAAAGGGGCTTTTCGACCACTTTTCGACTGGTTTGCGATTATAATTTGCACTTTGTCTAGACCCACAGTTGTTGCTAAAAGCAGTCTTGTCTACGGTTCAAGCGTCATTCGTCTGGCGTTAATATGGCAACACTGTGGGCTGTATGACCCGATGCGAAACTTTGCGAGAGTCGGGAAAGTAAATCTGAGATGTTATTAGATAATAGTTAGTAATAGCTAAGAAATGTTCTTGATTTTTCAAACCGGATAAACAGGCGTCATTGGCGATAATATTGTACATAGACGAACTGGTTTGCACTCATATCATGTACATGACAAGATAACACCAATTATTTAGGATGGTTACAGAAATTGGATGTGTCAAATATCGAGTTTCCTATACTAAAGAGAGATTATATCACGAGTTAAAGATGCTATGGTCGGTTTACATCACACACGACAAGTAACATAATAAAATTATGTAAAAAAACCCTCCCTGGCCCAAAATAAAATGCCCCCATTTGTAATATTATTGATGTTAAGTCGTAATGCCTTTGGTGTACAAAATTGGTGGATAAATTTAGCTGAATTTCGTTAGCATTACTATGTTTCATCACTAGGTGATAAAATATGACTGTTTAGTTACGCGGATATGTAAGTGTGGATGTTTGACCACCAGGTTAACATTGATTACATTGTATTATGTCGATCATAATAGGTTAATGAAATAAATTTGCTATCATGTCATTGCTGGTTTTATTTTGATGAATTTTTAAATATAAAGTAATTTTAATTAAGCTCATAATAATTATGACATCAATCAACTAACTGTTAAATAATCTTAACTAAAGATTATTTATTTTTTCCGCTTGTTATTTTGAACAGAGGAGTACCTATAATACAACCTTTCCTTCTTACGTCTTATATCATTAATTGGATAACTGTCGGCGCAAGCGCAAGGTTTCTTTCGTATAGAAATTACCTACCTTTATTCTACAATTTTTAAATTTAAGAAATACCTAGTATCCGTTCGCTTTAAGTTTGCCGCTGGCGATATGACGTCACTCGAAGGGAAGTCTAGAACTACACTCGACATCAAATAAATCGCACCTCCCGCGACAAGCATTTTCAAACGTATGCTTCCCCACTTCCCACCAATATTGGTACCATTTGAAAGCCTAGTTCTAACCTTCATTTCATTAAAGGAAAGGTTTTTACCCCAAAAATGTGTCTTTAGAAGGATCCAGAGTCACTTCTTAAAAAAATAGGTAGTTACGCTAGAGCCAACTTTTATGGCTATAAAACTGTTAAGTTGGGATTAATCGCTATTCATCTGTTAAAGAGGACACGTGAGATCATTATTTGGTTTTATAACCATAAAAATTGGTCTAATTGATCCCATAGGTGGGCCCAAAGTGAGGTATTTTTTCAAGTCACGTTTATGGTATATGTTAATCATTTATTAAGAAATTAAATGTGTTTTTCTTTAAGGATATTTATTGGGCTTTCAAATAACACCAATATTGTTGGGGCACCATGATTGTGTCAGAAAAAAATCGTTAAAGTTCGCGTCGCGGAAGGTGCGGTTTATTTGATGTTGAGTATACAGGGTGTTTCTTGTAAGGTGTCAAGCCGAAGGCAGGTGATAGGTGAGGACTAGACCTATCGATTTCACCCCCATGTATGTTCTACGATTTTTCGTAGTTTAGAAGTTATCGTTAATTTTTAGATTTTTTCAAATTTTATGACCTAGTGGCTTAATTTTTTTTTATCTTTTTTTTGGGTTGACTTTTCTCAGATTTCTTTTTTTTGACAGATTCCCTATTAGTTGCAGATATTTGAAAAAAATAATCATCTTCCTATCTTTGATGCAAGATACAAAATTTTTGCTAGAAACATAAAAAATATGCTTTTAGCAGAACATTCTAAAATTTTCAACTGAAATGTATGAGAAAAAAAAAGAATTTCCATAGGTCCAAAATAATTTTAAAAACTGCGCAGTTTNTTATTTTGGATCTATAGAAATTCTTTATTTTTCTCATACATTTCAGTTGAAAATTTTGGAATGTTCTGCTAAAAGCATATTTTTTATGTTTCTAGCAAAAATTTTGTATCTTGCATCAAATATAGAAAGGTGATTATTTTTTTCAAATATCTGCAACTAATAGGGAATCTGTCTAAAAAAAGAAATCTGAGAAAAGTCAACCCAAAAGAAAGATAAAAAAAAAATTAAGCCACTAGGTCATAAAATTTGAAAAAATCTCAAAATTAACGATAACTTCTAAACTACGAAAAATCGTAGAACATACATGGGGGTGAAATCGATAGGTCTAGTCCTCACCTATCACCTGCCTTTGGCTTGACACCTTACAAGAAACACCCTGTATAACAAACTATATTTAAAATATTTTGTATTTATTATTATTGATAAAAAATGTGTATTTGCGTAAAATAAGATACGTTAATTGCGTTTAATCGCGGTTGGGGGAGGGGACGCACTTTCCACGGACCGGCACACTTAGGGCGAATGGGTAGTAACTAGCTAGTAACCGGAGGTTAAAAAACAATTGAATAAAACAGGAACATAACGAAAAACACGTTTATTACCCAACTAAAACATCCCAGTATTTAGCTAAGGTCCTCGGATTTGGACTTGATGTAGAAACGGCTGCGGTTGCCGGCCACTGAGTCGTCCTGCCTCCACAGCTTCTGGCCGCGGATCTCGATTTCTTCGCGCCAAGCTTCCTGCGTCTTCCTGGAATTTGGATAGGATAGACGTGTCAGAATCTGTGTTGAATTCGTAAACAAGATAACATCAAGTATTTGAAAATTAAACAGACATAAAAGATTTGTATAGCTTTCGAAAGAAAAAGTTCGGTTAATTTTGTTAATAAAAAATCTAAGGGAGAATCGCGTTTGGAAGTTCATAAAAAGAATGTCGTTGACTTGTAATTTCTTCAGTTACCCACAATAACAAACCCGGTTACTGCAATAAAATAATAAATAAATATTGAACTGTGGGTAGACAAAGATTTTTCTTTAAAGATGTTCTTGCGGGGTTTCAAAACTTCATTCGACTTCGAAACATCGGTGGAAGAAAGTGAGTAACAAATTATTGTAACTGTAAAAATGTATGCTGATTGTATCGTGTTAAGTATTTGATTTGATGGTGAAAAAATGTATGCTGATTGTATCGGGTTATTTGATTTGATGGTGATTTTCTTTGAATCTTTTTCTCTTTCAAAGGCCTAGTTTCCACCAAGACTGAGCAGAGCGGAGCGGAGAAGTGTTTTGAATAACCAATCAGATTTCATTATTTCCACTTCTCTCCGCTCCGCGCGCTGTCAAATTCTATTTATTCTATAGAAAAATTAGTCTGCCCGAAACTTCACCGTTCCGCTTCACCTTAGTGGAAACCGGGCCTAAAATGTTTTTAGCTCTATGCTATGTTACGGTACTATTCCCACCACTGCAACTCCTGTGTAGCCAGGATCTACTTACAGCTTGACCGCCACAAAAACCCAAAAAATGAAGGTCAAGTTTGTCCCGGGGGAAAGTTAATAAACTGTCATTTGACCCGCAACGAAATTAATCAGAAGAACATAGGAGGAGTTCGAAATTAAGGATATGTTGCTTATTTTTTTTTTGTTTTGCTTTTTTAGTCGGGCGCTAGAGACAGGGCAATTGATAAACCAAGTAAAGGTCAATCAATCAAACCTGCACTTGTCGGTCAGCGGGCCGGTGCTCGGGAAGATGTTCTGCAGCAGCAGCAGGCACGGCAGCACCACCACCGACAGAAACTGGATCTGTTCCGCCGGCTGGTTCACGCTGCGCCGTCTGTCCATCATGCTGAGCGGAGTGTAGCCCATAGCGCGCTCCTTGTCGCCCTGGGGAGGAAGGTAAGTCGCTTTTGATTTAATTTTTGAGTTGTTTTTTATTGTAATTTTTTTATGCATGAAAAGGCAGGTATTTGACCGCAATCGCACCTGGTGTTATGTGTAATGCAGTCTAGGACACTATAAACACTATAATCCGGGCCTTTTCAAGACGAGAGTGAATAGGTACTTACAGGGTGTTCTAGCTGTTCACATTCCATATTCTGCTGTATAAACTGTTATTGAAATTGTGGATTGACCCTAAAATATTGATAGTTGACACGTCCGAAAGCAATGTAAGCAGTTGTGTGTGAGTGCAAACAGTTTTCTCTGTTACTAATCTATTGATTAATAGTGGCAGTTGGGTAGCTTACGTAAAAAGATTTTTGTAAAAAATCTTGATTTCTAAAATTAATGTAAAACTTACTCACCTGATTGTAAAACTCTTCGTAAACCGATTCGGCTATCGATTTCGCTACCCCAAACGGCTTGCAGCATCCTGATAAGTCACTGGTGGTCATGAGAATGCCCTGTAGATACAAAATGGTTGAGTTCAATTAATATTTCCTTTACGCGGCACAATTTGATTTTACGTTTAGATAGAAAAATATTGCTCACCAACCACATAAAAACAGTCAAGTTAAAAAAAGTTGACACGATCTTATCGTTTTTCCTGGTTTAAAAAAAGGCAATATCTTTCTTTTAAAAAGTTTTTATCTCTTCAAACTTGTCCAAATCACCTTCAGCATCCTCCTATGCGAGTTATCGCCCCAATCAAAAGAGTGGTCTGCGACCAGCGGCGTCAGCTGCGCTCGGATCTGGAAGTAGACCGCCAGGTCGGTGCACAGGATGTCGTACTTGATCTCCTCCATGATGCGCTCGCGGTCTATCGCTGGCAGCTTGGCTAGGATGTTCTTGTCCTGGAATTAGAGGGAGGAGGAATAAACATAGATACGACTTTTGTTAAGAGAAACCATTATCAGGCAGGGTACTCACCTGCCATGTAGCCCGT